TCTTTAGCTCTCACTCCCCCTCAAGCTTCCTGTGCCTCACCCCACACAACTGCTAATCTTTTTGTCTCTATAGATTTGCCCGTTATAGACATTTCATATAAATACGATCATATAATATGTGTATTTTTGTGACTGGCTTCTTACCTTTAGCGTAATGTTTTCAAGGTTCTTCCACATTGTAGCAGGTATCAGTAGTTCATTTTAGAGCTGTTTCATGACTGGTATACACTGTTTATTCCTCGATCCGGAGAGGGACGTTGGCTTGTTTCTACTTCTTGGCTGTTGTGGGTAATGCTGCTGTGAACATTCCTCTACAGTTTTTGTGTGTAGACGTCTGTTTTCATTTCTCTTGGGTATACTGGGAATGGGATTCTGGGTCAGATGGTAGGTATCTCTACGTGTAGTTGTTGGGGAGCTGTCAGACTGTTTTGTAAAGCAGCAGCACCATTTTTCATTGCTGGCAGTAGTGTGTAAGGGTTTCAATTTCTCTATATTCTTGTCAACACTTGTTATTATCTGTTTGTTTTTTTTTTAAATTTATTTTAGCCATCTAGTGTGTGTGAAGCGATATCTTATTATGGTTTTGATTTCCTTAACCACTAATGGTATTGAGCATCTTTTCATGTGTTTGTTGGTCATTTGTGTATCTTTTTTTGAGAAATGTCTATTCAAAGCCTTTGTCCACTTTTAAATTAGTTTGTCTCTTTATTGTTGAGTTTTAAGAGTTCTTTATATATTCTAGACAGAATCCTTTATCAGATAAATGATTTGCAAAAAATTTCTCCTTTGAGTTTTCTTTCTCCTTTCTTGATGGTGTCCTTTGATGCACAGAAGGTTTTAATTTTGATAATGTCCGATTTATCTTTTGTTGTTGTTATTGCTTTTGGTGTTGATCTAAGAAACCATTGCCTAATCTAGGTTCACAAAGATTTACTGCTGTGTTTTCTGCTAAGAGTTTTATAGTGTTAGCTCTTACATGTAGGTCTTTGAGTTTGAGTTAACTTTTGTATGTGGCAAGAGGCTAGGGTGCAAGTTCATTTTTTTGCGTGTGGATATCTAGTTGTCCCAACACTATTCGTTGAAAGACAATTCTTTACCCATTGAAGGGTCTTGGCAGCCTTCTGAAAAGTCAGTTGTCTGTAAATGGAAGTGTTTATCTCTGGACTCTCAGTTCTCTTCCATTGATCTCTATGTTGATCCTTCTGCCAGTACCATACTGACTTGGTTCCTGAATCTTTTAGTAAGTTTTGAAAAGTGGAAGTGTGAGACCTCCATCTTTGTTCGTTTTCAAGATTGTTTTGGGTATTATGGGTCTTTTGAGTTTCCGTATGAATTTCAGGATCATTTTGTCAGTTTCTGCACACAAGCTAACTGGGATTTTGATAGGGATTGCATTGAGTCCTTATTGAATTTTTTTTTGAGATGTTATTTTTCATTTTTATCCCCAAATCCCCCTGGTACATAGTTGTATATTTTTAGTTGTGAGTCCTTCTAGTTGTGGCATGTGGGATGCCGCCTCAGCATGGCTTGATGAGTGGTGCCAAGTCTGCCCCCAGGATCCGAACCAGCAAAACCCTGGGCCGCCACAGTGGAGTGCACGAACTTAACCACTCAGCCACTCTCAGTAGGTATTGTGGACTGAATGTTTGTGTCCTCCCAAAATTCATGTTGAAGTGCTAACCAGAGTCATGGTATTAGGAGGCGGGGCCTTTGGGAGGTGATTAGATTGGGAGGGTGGATCCCTCATGAATGGGATTAGTGCCTTTATGAAAGAGACCCGAGAGAGCTCTCTCACCGTCCTACCAGGTGAGGACACAGTAAGAAGACAGCTGTCTGCAAACAGGAAGAGTCCTCACCAGACACCACATATGCGGGTACTTTGATCTTAGACTTCTCAGCTTCCAGCACTGTGAGAAATAAATTTCTGTTTATAAGCCGCCTAGTCTATGGTATTTTTGTTATAGCAGCCTCCATGGACTAAGATCGTAAGAGTGTGCCTTTCCAAGTACAGTCACGCATCGCTTAGTGACTGGGATGCATTCTGAGAAATGTGTCATTAGGCGATTTTGTGGTTGTGCAAATATCATAGAGTGCACTTACACAAACCTAGATGGTGTAGCCCCCTACACACCTGGGCTGTATGGTACTAATCTTTTTTTTTTTTTTTGCTGGGAAAGACTCGCTCTGAGCTAAGATCTGTTGCCAATCTTCCTTTTGTTTTTTTTCCTTCCCTAAAACCCCAGTACCTAGTGTATTCTGCTTGTAAGTCCTTCTGGTTCTTCTGTGTGAGTGCCACCACAGCATGGCTCCTGATGGATGAGTGGTGTGGTTCTGCGCCCAGGAACCGAACCTGGGCTGCCCAAGTGGAGCACACTGAACTTTAACCACAGGCCATCAAGGCTGGCTCTGTATGGTGCACCATCTTATGGGACCACCATTGTATGTGTGGTCTGTCATTGATTGAAACATTGTTAGGTGGTGCATGGTTGTATAGATGTCAAAGTAGAAACCTCTGTAAAGGATAGAAGTGTGATTGATTTAGCAACACAAATCTTTAAGCCTCCCATATACCAGGAAAACAGATTGCCACCTGCATTAGTTTTCTGTTACTGCTGTAACAAATTATCACACACCTCTTGGCTTATAACAACACAGGTTTATTATCTTACGGTTCTAGAGGTCAGAAGTCTGACACAGGTCTCATTGTGCTAAAATCAAGGTGTTGGCAGGGGTTTCTCTAGGTTCTATGGAGAAACCATTTCCTTACACTCTCTGGCTTCTAGACGCCACCCACATTCCTGGGCTCCTGGCCTCTTTTCTCCATCTTTAAAGCCAGCAATGTAGCATTGCTCTGAACATTCTTCTCTGGTCGTGGCTCCCTCTGACCATAGCTGGGAAGGTTTTCCACTGTTAAGGACTCCTGATTGGATTGGGCCTTCCTGGATAATTCAGGCTAATGTCCTTAATCACATCTGCAGAATCCCCTTTGCCATGTGAGGTGATGCATTCACAGGTTCTGGAGTTAGGAGGTGACATCTTTGGGAGCCGTTATTCTGCTGACCACATGCCTGAATGACAAAGAAGGAGTCCTCTGTTTACAAAGAGGTTTTTACAAATCAATATGAAAATGTCTAATACCCCCTTTGAAAATGGACAAAGGGCCCTAACAAGCAGTTCACAAAAAGAAGTAGCACAATGAGTGAAAGTGTTTAAGAATTGTTCAGCCTCACTAATAGTCAAGGAGGCCCACCACCAGCCTGGAGAGCACTTTTCTTTCATCAGATTAGCAAGGCCATGGGGTCCATCCACACTGCTGCCGGGACTGCGAGTGGCTCGCCTTTGGCGGTCTGTACCAACAGCCTTTAGAAATGTGTGCTGCGTATCCCAGGCACTCCATTTCTGGAAATTTATCCTGAAGAAGTTCTCACATTTGTGTGCAAGGATTTCTCCCCAGAGATGTTTATTGCTGTTTTTATACACAAACAACTTTAAACAAGTTAAATATCTCACAGTCAATGTTGGTTCAACAAATTACAGTGTAGCCGTATGGTGGGATCCTGTGAAATTAGAGGTGATACTGTCCAGGGAGATGGCACAGGCAGTAATGAATTAACTGGTACTCATTATATTGTTATGATTTTTAAGAACTTTTAAATTTTGTAGTAAGTATAGATATACAAGGAGTTGCCGAGAAATATGTAGTGAAATTGTGTGTGCCTGTCTCATGATTAAGCTTTTAAATTTACATATGCTGCATATGTTTGTTGTGTATATAAAACAATACATATAAAGTAAATAATTGCATATAAGTAAATTGAAGAAGGATAGTAATAATAGGGAGAAATAGTCATGATACATTACTAAGTAAAAAAGGTTACATTTTATTTAAAAATATTAAAATATTCATGAGTATACTAAACACTTGTCTGTCTGTACTTGTCTTTACATACACACACACTCCCTGTGAGGCACTGTGTCACAGTGTGACAGTCGTGGTCTCCTCCGTGTGGACCGCATCAGCTAGGATGTCTGACTGTGAGTGGCTTAAACAAACCTGGGTTTGTTTATTCCATCTAAATGGGTGTCTGAGGGGGTGGTCCGAGGCTGGACAGGCAGCTCTGCAAAGCTGTCAGAGACCCACGCTCTTTCCCATTGTCCTGCCCTGCTATCCATTATGGGCGGCTTTATTTCTCATGGTGGCAAAATGGCTGAGGGGCCTCTAGACCTCTCATCTGTGTTCCAGGCAGGAAGAGTGGGGAAAGCTAAGGGCCAAGGGCACGCTAGCTAAGCTTGTCTTCTGTTGGACAAGGAAGAGCCTGCATTTATTTCTGATTGGCCTGCACTGGGTTACACATGGCCACCCCTGACTGGAAGCCGACTGAGGAGGAAGGGGTGTGGATGGGGTTGTTCAGCTGCCCAATGTGGGTGTCTGCCATGCAGGTTATTTGTTTCCAGCTATTTTCCAAATTTACTCCGATGAACATAGACTTTTATAATGAAACCATTAAGTCTTTAAAAAAAATTACATTTATCTTCTTTGTAATTCTGTATTCCATCCTCAGACAAAATGGTACCAGTTGAGAATTTCCAGACGGGTGTTTCATTGTCAATTTTTAGTCCTGTGACATGAGGTCCGAGAGTGGAAGCTTTGGGGAAAGTCACTGATGCTGAGCGGCTCCCAGCTCCCAGCAGCCTTGTCACTAGTCGATGCCTGAGGCTCTGTGGGGACACTGTTGGGCCTGTGGTTCCCTGCACAGAGGCCCATTCGCAGGGAGGACTGAATGCCCTGCTTGTTGTGGGGTGTGGGCTTGTATGGCGCCATTCATCCCTTCCAGACAGGGCCCTCCTGACCCTGGAGTGGCCGGAGACGCCTGTGGCTGCTGATGGAGAGCTGCTTCCCTCAGTCTTGTAGGTTACAAGGAGCTGGTCTTTTCCCTGAGTCAGTGGGCTCTTGGGAAAGCTGAGGAGAAGCTAATTTGATTTCTCTTTCTTTTAAATAGCATCCAGCATGTGTATGGCGCCCAGCACCCCCCGTTTGATCCACTGTTACATGGCACGTAAGTGAAGCCTCAGCTCTCACAGGGCTGTCTCATGCACAGTTTGGGGGCCTTGGTGACCTTCCAGCTCTCTGAATTCCTGAGGGGGAGGAAAGTGGGCTTTCATTCAGCAAACGTACATCAAGCAATTGCTTGTGTGGGACACTGCTGGCCTCACACAGCTCATCCCCTGGGGGGAATGCAGACGTGGACGCTGAAGCCTGAAGCAGGGGCAGCCAGTGTGGGAGAGCATGTAGCTGCGCCTGGTAGCTGGCGGGCAGGGCCTGGCTCTGGGCTGGTCATGGTGGTTGATTTATGTCCCTGGCTCTCCACTGTACTCTCCGCCCCACTGCCTGAGGCTGGCTCTGCCATGTCCGGCCTCTCCTCCAGAGGCACGCCAGAGGAAGGTGTGGCCATGCAGGACTGCACCTGTCGGACAAGTTACCAGACACACACTGGGGCCGGCGTTCTATGTTGTCATACTGTGGGGGATCTCATTTAAATTATACTGTATCCAAATCTGTATACGGAAGGCCTGTGTTCTGTGAACAGCCTCTCCCGGCCCACACCCCCAGCTGCTGCCGTAGGAGGTGCGAAGATGCTGGGGTGAGAGAATGTGGTTGCAGGCACTGGCCAAAGTGAGGGCTGGGGATTAGGTCTGAACACCGTTGCTGGGTGGTGCCATGTTTCCTCATAAATTGGTTCTGTCAGTGGGCAAAGACTGCTTAGTGTGACTCTTTCTGGAAATCCTGCCCTCCTCCCCGTCACTGGATCCTCGTGAGCTCTGCCCAGTCTTAATTAGGATGTCTCTGAATTGTGTTTGCTTTTTCACTTCACTTTCAGCTCAATTGAAGTTGAAAGCTTGTGTGTGTCCCTTCTCATCTGGGGGTTCCTTTCTGACCAGTTTTGGGGTGAATACTCTCAGGCCTCCAGGAGTATAATTAAAGACTACCTTTGCTTTGCAGCTTGCTCAAGGCCACACCCAAGGTGCCGACCACACCAGTGAAGGCCAAGAGAGTGAGCACCTTCCAAGAGTTTGAGAGCAACACCAGCGATGCTTGGGATGCTGGCGAAGACGATGATGAGCTCCTGGCCATGGCGGCCGAGAGCCTGAACACTGAGGTGGTCATGGAGACAGCCAACCGGGTCCTGCGCAACCACAGCCAGCGGCAGGAGCGACACAAGCTGCAGGAGGCCCCGGGGCCGGAGCAGAAGCCAAAGCCTTTGGCAGAGCCTCATTTGGTCCCAAGCGGTGACCTCCGGCTGGTGAAGTCCGTCAGTGAGAGCCACACGTCCTGCCCTGCAGGTGGGTTGGGGAGAACTGAGAAGTGATGTGTATTTCTGCAGGAGGAAAGGGGCTGGAGTCCTTCCCCCGCGGAGGAGTAAGAGGGCTCACGGTCTCCTCTGCAGCAGGAACCCCTGCCCTTGAGAGCTTGTAGGGTTATTATCCAAGCAGCCGCAGGCCTTCCCAGGAAAGAGAAGCAGCCTGCACTTTTCTCTTTGTCCTCCTGGCTGAGTGCATCTCCTCCAAATGGAGTGGCAGGACATGTGGCTTTCATGGGCTGGTCCTGAGAGGGCCACGGGGGAGCACTTGGGCTCGGGGGACCCCGCTTTCTCCTAAGTACACCCTGGTCGCTCCAGGGGTGACGTTTCTAGCCGAGGAGCCAGGCCAGCTGCATGTTCAGGGGCAGCTTACGGGGATGCCCTTCAGGGACACGTGTACACGCGGGCTCAGGGTCTGCGGGAGCTGGGTGTCCGATGTTTGGAATTGCCATGCTCAGATTCTAAACTCCGCGGGGGTAAGATCACGTCCGCATCTTGTATCAACGTGCCAGGCAGTCAGCGCCGTTCTTGAGACTGCTTCCGTCCTGCTCTTTTTGCTTTGGAGGCTCTGAGATGTAAAACAGCACGGTTATTTAATGAGCACCTGCGATGGGTCAGGCACTGTTCTCAGGGCTCGCGATGCCCCAGTGGACAAGCCAAATGGAAGTCCTTGCCCTGTGGAGTGTCTGTTCTGGCCAGGAGGATGGACGCTAACCTATACACGATCAGTACAGAGGCAAGGAGTGTGCTAGAGGGAGGCTGGTGCCATGGGTCAGAGTAGCCGTGGGCAGTGGTCATGAGAGCAGCTGGGGCAGGGGCATCATCTTAGGGGGATCGGTCAGTGCAGCCTCCCTGAGAACGTGATGCATGAGCAACAGCATTAACGAGGTGAGGGGGTGAGACGTGGGGACTCTGGGGGCAGAGGAGCCGTTGCAGCCTCAGACTCTCTGATACTTGTCCTAAGGTCTCCTGGGGGTTAGGGTTGCTTGCCCCTCATTTACAGATGAGAACAGGAGATCGTTGTCACAGCCTGAGGTTCCCCTGCTAGGAGACACAGAGTTAGGTTTCATACCTAGGTCTCGTTTTCAAAAGCACTTTCCAGGAATTGATTAACTTCTAAAATGTTACAAGTCTTCTTAGATGAGAATGCTATGAATTCTTTCATTTGACCAGTTTTTATATTGGAATCTAGACTATTTTCCTGTAAAATAGGGTGAACTTTAAAGTATTTGAGTTTAAAAATGGAAGGAAATCCAGTTAGGGCTTTTGCAGGTGGATTGAAAATTCCTGTGGCTGATGAAGTACACACTGACTGCCCCCATCGTGCCCAGTCCCGGCCAGTGCACCCTCAGCCTGGGTCACTCTTGGCATTGGCAGGCACCCTGAATTCCTTCTGCTCATGGGCTGTGCTGATGCTGAAAGTCTTCGAGCCGGGGAGGCAGTTTCTCATGACTCTGGGGGCCTGGGCAGAGCCTCTGTAATGCCCGCCACCTGAGCGATTGCTTGTGGTGGTCCTCAGCAACCCCGGAATGGGGGCTTGTCTCGGCTGAGAGTGGTAAGGATCTTGTTGTCTTAGTCAGCCAGGGCTGCCATAACAAAAGTACCACAGACCTGGTAGTGTATAAACAACAGAAAATTATGTCTCACCTTCTGGATCCTTGGAAGTCCGAAGTCAGGGTGCCAGCATGGCAAGGTCCCTCTTCTGGGTTGCAGACGGCTGCCTTCTCATCATGTCTTCACGTGGCAGAAAGCAGAGAGGGGAAGCAGGCTGTCTCGTCCTCTTAAGAGGCACTAATCCTGTTCATAAGGGCTTTGCCCTCATGACTTCGGATCCTAATTGTCTCCCAAAGGCCCCTCTTCCTAATACCATCACATAAAGGGAGGTAGAGCTGCGCCGTTCAGTCCACGATGAACATGGTATGTGGTTGGGGGATTCCCACCAGAGGCAAGCTTGGGCTGCATCCAGCCAGGCTGTGGAGCCTTGGAATGTCACCTTGGGATGGGCCTCCTCCTGTAAGAGCCAAGTGAAGGACACTCTAAGCAGCTTGTGCTGGGAGAGGGGCTGGTGACTGAGTTTGCCTTCCCCTTCCACCTGCCTGGCAGTTGGCCATCTTTCCTTTGTTTGCTTTTTGGGTAAGCCTTTTGTGAGCACTTGCATATGATAATAACAATAACTAGCATTTATGGGTCGTTTACTATGTGGCAGGTACCCTAGCAAGCCCTTGTAATTAATAAACTCATTGAACTTTGCAGCGTCTCTGGGAGACAGTTTACAGGTGAGGTACAGAGAAGTTGCATGGCTTGCCCAGAGCTGTGTACCGAGTTATGGGGCTGGGGTTCAGTCCCAGGGCGCCAGACTCCAGAGCTTCTGCAGTTGGCCACTGGCCTCCAATATAGAACAGGCCTTCTCAACTGGGAAGTTTTGCTCCCAGTGAACATGTGGCAAATGTCTCTGGACACTTTTGGTTGTCACATCTGGGGCAGGGTGTATGTGCTACTGGCACATGATGGAGGCCTGGGATGCCACTCAACATCCTGTGGTGCCCAGGACAGTCCCTGCCTCCACAGAGAACTCTCTAGCCCTAACAGGCATAGAGCCGTGAGCAGGATCCAGAAGCATTTAAGGGCAGAAGTCCCAGTTTTGTCTTGTTGAGGAGGCCCAGGGGTATGTCAGGGAAGGCTTCAGAGAGGAGGTGATGTCTCTAGCATTTCCAGGAGCATAAGGGCTTTTGGGCCAGGAGGTAAGACTGTTAGGCTAAGGGGAGGTGCCAGGCCAGCTGGTCTGGCCAGCATTCCCATGCGGATGGGTCGGGTCTGTCTGCAGGCTTCATGTGCGTGGTTTGCAAGTTCCTTGAAGGCCAGACCTCATCCCAGTTACCTTTGTTTCTCCTTGGTGGAGTTACATAAATGCTGTTGACATAAACTGAGTTGTCCTCAGGGCCTGGTGACGTGGCTCTCCCCCTACACCCTGTCCCCTGCGGCACCCACACTTGTCCCTGCACAGGGACACACTGCCCAGGTAGGCGGGGCCTTTGCTCAGGTGAGGGACCTGTGAGTTCCATTTTACTTTATTGTTCACGTGAACAGCATTTTGTAATTTTAAGTGTCCTGCAACATTCCACTTCATGGGGCACGTCCAGTTAGAATGCTGCTTCTCCTGCTACGCGGATGTGCCACTGCCAGAATTTATCTTGGCTGCTTGTCCTTTCATGGTGTGCCGCCGTGGGGAGCAGATGTCACCTTGCACAGTGCCAGCAGGAGCTGCCCACTACCGTCAACTTTGGCCTTCAGCCCTGGATAGATGGTGGCCTGGAAGTTCAGTGATGGTGCAGCATGGAGCTCGTAGGCTGGCTGTCCCTGTGCCTGGGCTTCACCCTCTGGCTGTCCTGGCTTTCCTAATAAATGTCTGAGAACTCTCTTGCCTTCGTGCCTGAAGTCAGAGGCACTTTGCTTGATTTAGTGTGCCATTGGGTTAATGCAGAGCATGTCTTTGGCTGGGAAGGGCTCAGTGGGCATCAGCCAGGTGAAGACTGTCCCCGTAGCTGACCGTGAATGAGCTGCGAGTGGGATCTTGTGTGGATGCTGACTGATGGCAGCTGCATCACACCCTTAGGGACCCTGGAGGTGGACCGTGATGTGTTTGCTGTTCACAGTAACAGGGAGACCTGGCTGTCCATCTTACTGTTTTCTCGGGCGCATTGCTGTCGCTTTACCTTCCAGATTGCATCTGTCCCATCTTAGAGTGGGGCCAGGAGTGTGCTCTGCTCGGGAGTGAGTGGGGCCTTTAGTGTTTCAGGAAAGTCACACTGACGATCTCTCAGATTGCAGATAAATCAAAGTGAGCACGGTTAGTTCCGTGATACAGTGTGGAGCTGTTCTTCCTGCGGAATGTTCTTCCTGTAGAATCATGAAATGCGGTTGAAGTAATGGAGGGAAAGGAGGGAAAGGAGCTCTGAGTGTTACCACCTCTGTCTTCTCACCGTTCCATCATTTTCCTGAGCCGTCCCAGAGTGGAGGCCAGTGAGGGAGGCCTCCTGCAGGGGAGGGGCCGTCCTGGGGAAGGGCGGGAGTGGAGATGGGGAGTGGAATGGTAAGGGAGGCGCTCTCACCTCTGCGCCCACTTTTGAGGCTTTTCTGGAAGCTTAACTGGGCCAGACTACCCAGAGGCGTGGGCTGCCCTGTTCCTTGCAGCCAGAGGGTTCCTGTGTGAAGCCTTTCCACCTAAAAATTAGGGTAATGAGCGCTCTGCGGGAAGGAGGGGGCAGGCGGAGTGGTCATCCTCCCTCGCAGCCCAGCCCGGCAGCAGCTGCCACAAGCAAGCAGAGGGCAGCACGGATGCTCCATGGCGTTTGCTCCCTGCCCCATTTCCTGGAGTTTATTTTTCACTCTTCTTTGAATTTCAGTTTTGGAAGATGCGCTCGCTCGGTGGGATGTGGACCTGGGGGTTTGCTGCCTTTCAGGGCCTCTTGCTTGTGGGTTCGTGTTGGTCCCCAGTGGCTTCGGCTGTTTCCTTTGGCTGTCCTTGGACCCAGGCTTCTGGATGTGACTCAGTGTCTCACTACGTCTCCGTGGGTCCTGGTGGGCACAAGCCTTTCAGCCCGTCGAGGGGTCCATGGCACCCTGGGCCAGGGCTGGGCAAGCTTGCACTCTGGTGACCCGCTTACTCCTGCAGTAGGAGCTAACCTCCTCTACTTTCTCTGGGTGGCAGTCCCTGCCCCACCTCCCTCACAGGGTCCAGGGAAATGCAGGAGATTCAAACAGTCCTCAGTGCCGTCCTCTCCCCTTCACGAGTGACTCAGTGGCTTCCCTGCGGGCTCAGGCCTGGGAGACCTGCACAGGCCCCCTCCTACCCCTTCTACACCAGCAGCTCCTTGGGTCATGTCACCCGGGCAGGCCTGATCTGGGGGAGCCCTGTCTGCTGGTATGTCCTGAGGTCTGGAGTTTTCTGGTTGTCACTGTCTTGCTTTTGTGTGGGGTGTGTCTGTTTTACTGATGAATAATACTCTGCCAGTTAGGTGGGTGAACTTCAGAGGTGTTAGTATCACTCAAGAAACCAGGGTTCGCGCCACTCGGTTGTGAGAAGAAGGGACGGCTGTGACACGGCAGCGTTCAGAAAGGGAAAGCAGCTCAGCAGGTGGGAGCCCTTTTTAGTGGAGAACGTGGCCGTGGCCGTCGGGGGAAGCCCAGGAGGCTGGCCTCAACCTTTGTTCTCTTTCCCTTTGCAGAAAGTGCCAGCGACTCTGTCCCTCTCCAGAGATCCCAGTCTCTCCCACACTCAGCGACAGTTGCATTGGGTGGGACGTCCGACTCCAGTACCCTCGGCAGCTCTGTGCTAAGTGAGAGAGAGGCCTTCCGGCTGGACAAATTCAAGCAGCTCCTTGCTGGCCCCAACACAGACCTCGGTAAGTCCCCTGTTGGAGGATACGCATGGTTGTGTGTTGTTTCTAGAAGAGGCCCAGTTCTTGAGAGACTGCTGTCATGGAATGCACGTGCTTCATGTGTAATTTACCTTCTAAGAGGTTGATGTGTTTGGACTGTCAGACCAGTAGTTCACTAAGGTGAGCGTCACTCATCCGAAAGTTTACTTTAGGCTTGTTTGTTAGTGTGCTTCCAGGTGCTCAGGTATTTCCTGTTTTGTTTTCTTGATGCCCCACTTGCACTCTTTCGGCTTCTTAGAGCTGCCCTTGGCAAGCTCTGCATGGCTGGCCACGTGGCCCTCTTTGCTATTCGTGGCGTTTGTGGGGCATGGGGCTGCTGACTGACCACTGCTGACAGTGCCTTCCTGCTGGCGGCTCTGAGTCAGTGTAGAGTGTGACAGGCTGCAAGCACTGCCAGAGAGCCAAGGCAGGGCTTGGGAGGACAGGCCAGCAGGGGACAGGACAGTTACCCGTGTGGTTCTTTTGGGTCCTGATACCCGTGTGGATGCTCTGCAACCAGGCTCTGAGGCACGTGCCAACTTCCAAGTCCATCTTCTGCAATTCTTCCATTTGAACCTGTGTTCTCTTGTTTCTGTACCTCATTTTGTTGAATGCCACCCTGTGGTGGGCATTTTGCTAGATGCTGGAGCTTTCAGCAGGATTGGATGTGGCCCTGGCTGTGGGATCACTCATAACTGGGGGGGGCCAGGCACCAGAGAGCGGCTCTGAGGGCTGGGCGCACCGAGGCGGGCAGTGCTGCGCTCTACCGGCAGGTGGCGCATGAGGCCTGTGGACGGCTGCACTGAGTGGCTCCAGGCCCAGACGAGGCTGCGCCAAGGAAAAGCTGCAGCCTCCTGCCTAAGGCGGGGAGGCGGGGGGGGGGGGGGGGGGGGGCGGCGCGGCTCTGGAAGGTCTTGGAGCTCCTAAGGTGCTGCTCCTATTCTGGGTACAGTTCTCACGGCGAGGTTTTCTTCTTACTTTTATGTATTTTTGCACATGCACACATTACACAGTTACATGGCGCAGAAGGGTGTACAGTGAATGAGCCCCTCCCTTTCCCCACCTCCCCTTTCCCTTCCTTTGCACAGTTCCAGGTGTCTTCCAGAGATGCTCCGAGCATGTATTGGGTTAAACTGTTTATTTGATGTAATTTCAAATTTACAGAAAAGTTGCTAGACTAGTACAAGTGACTCCCATATATTCTCTACCCAGACTCACCAATTGTTTCCATTTTGTCCCATTTTCATTCTGTGTGTGTGTACTTGTGTGTATACGTACTTTTCCTGGACCATTTGAGTCAGCTGGAGGTATCATATCTCTTTACTCCTGAAAGCTTCACTGTGTACTTCCTGAGAACAAAGGTGTTCCCTTGGTGTAATCACAGCATCATTGTCAAGGTCAGGAAATTTAACGTCGAGATGGCACTGTTACCTCATCCACACTCCACCTTCACATTTGGCTCATTGTCCCAGTAATACATTTCTTCTTCTTTTTTTTTCCCTGCTTTTTTTCCCCAAAGCCCCCCAGTACATAGTTGTATATTTTAGTTGTGGGTCCTTCTAGTTGTGGCATGTGGGACGCTGCCTCAGCGTGGCCTGACGAGTGGTGCCATGTCCACGCCTGAACCAGTGAAACCCAGGGCCACCGAAGCAGAGCGCGCGAACTTAAGCCCTCGGCCACGGGGCCGGCCCTTACGTTTCTTTTCCCCTAGTCCTGAATCCAGTGCGGGATTGCACATTGTGTTGGTTGTCACGTCTCTCGTCTCCATTAACCTAGAGCATACTCCAGCCTTGCGCTGCGTTCCTGGATCTGGACAATTTGAAGAGCGTGGGCCGCTCAGCCTGGGCTGCTTCATCTTCCTCCTGAGGAGATTTGGGCCGGTCGTCTCTGGCAGGAGCATCACTTAAGAGATTTGTGTTCTCAGTCGTCATAACAGGAGGCCATGGTGCTGGCTTGTCCCGACGTTGATGAGTTCAGCGCTCATCACTTGGTTACTACGGTGCCTGCCAGTTCTTCCAATGGAAAGTTCCTCTTTTTCCTTGGTAATTCAGAAGCAGTTTGTAGAGATACTTTGGGGTCTGTGCATTTCTGCAGTACATTTGCTTTCTCCACACGAGTAGTAACACTGTCTGCGCCTGACTCTTTAAATTGAACAGCGTGTTTTCCCGTGTAACGGTGCTAGAGAACAGCTGTGGTCTGTATGGTGCTCTGTGGCGTGCCCGTCTGTGGGCCCCGTGCTCTGTGTACTGCCCCGCTCCTGATGGGCACGTAGGCTCTTCCTCACTTCCTGTCATTGCAGAGATGCGAGACTGCTCTTCAGACGTCGGATCCTCACCGTCGCTGGTGATGTTCACAGAGCATCCCTAGGTGCCGGTGGGGGAAAGGGAGAGCTTGAGAAGCGGGGTGGTAGGAGTCTCGTGTGCCAGGCTCAGAAGTAAAGATGGATCGTGCGTGAAGGAGTGCAGTGTGGGGTTGAGTACATGCCTTAGCTGCTTGCTTTTCTAGCCTGCCAGCACACCTGTGCCTTTGAGGCAGTGTCAGGGGACCAAGTCACATAGTGGCAGTGAGCGGGGAGGTTCTGGGGACGGCTCCCTGCGTGGAGTGCTGGCTCCACTGCTTCCTTGCCTTGTGACCTTGAGCAAGCCGGGTAGCTCCCGGGCCTCAGTCTCCTTGTTGGTCCCTAGGCGCGATGGTGGCACTGCTAGTTCTGCAGATAGTGCGTGTGAAGTGCTTAGGAGAGTGCCCAGAACATAATGAACACTCCAAAAGGTTAGTTATTTTTCTTCTTATTTTCATTCGCATTGGCTTATTTATCCTCTAACTTGATTTTTATAGGATTGACATATATGGTCACTTTTGTGATCGTTGACAAGTCAAGGAAGTTTACCGATATTTTCTTGGTTATGTTCAGCGGTGTCTAATGTTAAGTAGCAAGGAGATGGCTGATGAAAACACGGTTTCCTGCTGGGAATCACAGTTCTGAGCCCCCAGTTAGAATCTTCTTGTGGACTCTGTCATTGGAGTGACTTTTGGAAATTAAAACCATACTTAAAAATAAAGCTTTTAAGACTTGTAGGAAAATGTATGTATGGATAGATTGAAAAGTTAACATGTAAAAATTAAATTCTTTTGTTAGGTTGCTGGGATTATGGGTTTTTTCTTTCTTCAGAATTCTATTTAAATATCAAATCTAACACCAAAAAGCTAAAACCAAAGCTTTCAAAGTTAAACAGTTACTGGATCTGTGTTTAGTGGCAAGAGGAAAAACACAGCCAGTAGATTGTCTGTTTTTATGAGGCGTTTAAGATAGCTTCGGAAGAGAGTGGAATATATTATCTTCACATTACATAAGAGACGTAAGTGGCAAATATTTGCCAGTGTTGGAGACGCGGTCACTGGTGTGCCGAGTGCCCGCAGGACCGATTCCACCTGCTGCGTGCCTGGTCTGTTGCTCTTGTTTGGCTTCTGCTGTTCTGAGCCTGGGGATGAAAGTAGCAAATAGAACTTAACAGCTCATTCTCCTCTTAGCATTGGCTCAATGTTTACTCGGACAAAGGCTGCCTGCTTTGAAGCCCAAGAAAACGACACTTGGAGGCATTCATTTTTATCATGAGCTTGCCTCTGTGAATGGGAGTGTGATTTGGCAGTATGCAAAATAGGTGTTTCCTGAGGCCTGTGGAATGGGGCCACGTGTGGCCTGGCGTCCCAGGCCTTCAGATGTGAGTACAGAAGGAGCCAGGCCAGGTACACTGTCACGTTCTGGTTCCCCCGAGTGAGCACCCGATCTGGGCTTTAAGATGGAGAGCGTGGGGAGGAGAGGTTTTCTTTGGGGCAGGAGGCAATATGGAGCTGCTTGCCCTGGCAGCGGGAATTTCAGTTAGGTGCCCCCTCAGGCTCCAGGGCTGGAGGAGAGCCCTGCAGGACCGTGATGGCAGGAGGAGGAGGCAGCACAGCCTTGAGCCAGTCCTTGGTGGGACGCTGGCCATGTCCTTACTCTGCATGACTGACTCTAATTAGGTGACTCAGCTCCTGTCTTACCAGCCATAACAGGGAAATTAGGCCTACCCTGCAGGGTCCTTGTGACCTAGGAGGTAATTTCCGTAAGGGGCCCATAGTTCATGGGGCCCACATAGTTCATTTGTTCAAGTATTCATTAAGCACCTGCTGGTGTAGCTCTGGGCAGAGACAGAATCAGACCCCCAGAGTCCTGCCCTCAAGGAGCTGATGTTCCAGTGTGAGGAGACAGATGGACAGACGTATGCACACGGTCAGAATTCCAGAAACTCTCAGAAGATGGTAAGTGTATGTGGAGGGATAAAGACTGGTACTGCTTTAGAGGGAGTGGTCAGCAGGGACCCTTTGGAATAGGGTACCTTTAAGGCAAGCTTGGCACAAAGGCAGGCACTTGAAGATGGGGAGGAGCATTCCAGGGAGAGGGACTGGCGGTGGGAGGGGGCTTCCTGTGCTTGAGGAATGGAAAGCAGCTGTTGAGGCCAGGGCCTGGTGGGAGAGGGGAGGGAGGCCAGCAAGGCAGGAAGGGACAGGTCCCGAGGGCTGAAGGGCCAGGAGAAGGTGCTTGCCTTTCACTCTGAGTGCAGCCTGAAGTCTCTGGGAGGTTTTGAACTAGGAGAGTGGAGCTTGGCAGGAAGCATCAGAAAGTGGTTGCTGTTCTGTGGAAGGAAGAGCCGCTGAAGACTCCTGGGCAGGGCGTGGCCGGTGGCCTTGGGCTGAGGCACATTCCTTTGGCGGGGGGGGGGGGGGGGGGGGGGGGGGGGGGGGGGGCTTGGGGAGGGGAGGGACAGGAGGGACAGGGAAGAAGTTCGATAGTCGATTGGTGGAAGGAGATGAGGGTCCTGGCTGGGGGGGGGGGTCAGTTCCCTAGGTGCTGCAGGGTGGGCTGGGTAGGCCTGGTCCCTGGTTGGACAGGAAGCTGGGTAGACTGGGGAGGAGAAAGCCAAGACTGTCACAGCTAGAGTCTGGGGTAC